CGCTTTGTGTGGGTATGGAGGTAGCGGAATTGGTACCAATGAGGAGAAAGTAATTTGAGGCCTGTTGCTTCTTTGAGCAGAATTCAGGTAGATAAAGGGATATGCAAAGGCAGTAAAAAAAGCTGTTCCAGATCCAGGAAAGAAAATAGGAGAAGGAAGACTGAGATCTGTGAAAGAATTAAGGGGACTTCTCTCCAACAGTATGAGTGCAGATGCCCACAGATAGTAATCACAGAATCATTATGGTTGGAAATGACCTTTAGGATCACTGAGTCAAACCATCCACCCAAGACAAGGAAAAAAAAACAAACCTCAACCAAAATAACTCCACCAAACTGACACCATAACCACCATAACTAACACCCACCATACTTGCTAGAACACGTCCTGAAGTGCCACATCTACACGATTTTTTAATACTTCCAGGGATGGTGACTCTACCACCTCCCTGGGCAAGCTGTTCCAGTGCCTGACCATTCTTTCAGTAAATAAATTATTTATAATACCCAGTGTAGCCCCTCCTCCCTCCCTCCACCCCTGCCCCAACAGGCAACTTCCTGCCCTTTCCTCTAGTCCTGTCATTATTCACTTGGGAGAAGAAGCCAGTGTCTGCCACACTACGACCTCCTTTCAGGTACTTGTAGAGAACAGTGAGGTCTCCCCTGAGCCTCTTCTCCAAACTAAACAACCACCATTCTGTCAGCCTCTCCTCACAGGTCATGTGTCCTAGACCCTTCACCAGCTGCGTTGCCCTTCTCTGGACACACTCCAACACCTCAGTGTCCTTGTAGTGAGCAGCCCAGAACTGGACACAGTGCTCCAGGTGGGGCCTTACCAGGGGCACAATCACTTACCTGCTGCTGGCCACAGTATTCCTGATGCAGGCCAGGACAGTGTTGGGTCTTCTTGGCCACCTGGGCACACTGCTGGCTCGTGTTAAGCCAGCTGTCAACCAACACCCCCAGGTCCTTTTCTGCTGGGCAGCTTTCCAGCCTCTCTTCCCCGGGCCTTGCCTGGGTTGTTGTGATCCAAGTGTAGGACCCAACACTTGGCCTTGTTGAACCTCATACAGTTGGCCTTGGCCCATCAATCCAGCCTGTCTAGATCACTCTGTAGAGCCTTTCCTTCCCTCAAGCAGATCAACACTCCTGCCCACTTTGATGTTGTCTGCAAACTTATTGAGGGTGCACTCAACCAAGATAATTGATAAAGATATTGATCAAGATGGGACCCAAAACTGAGCAATGGCAAACAAGAAGCTGACCTGTGTATCCCAGCCCACCAGCATATCAGACAGCCACTTTTGGATAACCCATTTAATTCTCCAACAGGTCCATGTCCAGAAAACCTGGTGTAGAAGAATAAAGAAGCACAGAAATGCACTCTAGTACTATATGGTATGGAGGGGAAAGGATAATAAAATTGAAGGTGTGTAATTTGTTAGAATAGCTTTGTAATGCCTGTGTAATAGTGTGAAATTGTATAATTGTATATTAGTAGCAATAGTGTGTCTCTTAGCTAATTATAATATTAGTTGATTTATTAGTTGGTAATGTTTTACTTAATAAAAATTGTCTCCGAAATCAGTTATGTCTCCATCTTGCAGTCCGAAAGGCTAGAGTTGGACTCATTAACTGAGTGACTATCAGCCAGGAGAATGAGGCAGTAGATCGAAGAACCATTTCAACATATGCCCACTAGAGGCTGCTGATGGGGTCTGGTTTTCCCAGAATTTGTCAGTGAGCATTTTCCAGGATCTGGTGAGTGTGGATCTTCTAAGAGCTGGAAAAAGGAGACTGCCAAGTAGGCAGTGCTTGGACCAAGATGGTCCAAGAAAGAAGAGAGAATATAAAATCAGGAAGATGCAATACAGTACTTAGCAGTTAGCAAAGGAATATAGCAGAACATGCAGTTGTCTTGAGACCAAAATGCAGAAAAACCATATGCAGATGGGAAAAACAGAAGGGCACAAGAGGTGGCAAGGATAACAACAGAGGAAGGATGGGGAGAAAACAGCAAGAAGATTAATATAGATCAAAGTAATGTAAAGCAGTATTGAAAGTCTTTAACAGCTAAGAAACTTGAAATCACAAACTGAAATACGTTTCCAAAGGAAATGTTAAAGTAAAGTAAATTTGTATTTTGTTTGAGATAGGATAAGACTGGTGTTTTGTCTTTTTCAAAATGTGAGGGGCAGAACCTTTTGACTCAGTGTGTCATGCTGCAGGGAAAGTGTGTGTGCTTCAGCCCTTTTTTTACCTCACACAGTGGTCTTTTCAGAGCAGTGGGTCTCTTGAGTGTGGGCAATCACACTTGTGAGCTGTGTTTAGATCCAAGTAGATAAAATGCCAAGTCTTTCAGTACTCAGCCTAAGCTGTGTTAGTGAAGCTTCATAACTGTAAAGTTGATTTATGTTAGGTTTATTTTGGTGTGACATAATAGTCACCCAGAATAGAATATCATTTACATTACTGTAGAGCTAGAATAACAATTATATTTTATATTGTTATTCTGGTTTTCCACTGGTATAACTGAGAACTGAATATGGCCCTCTTTCTGGAAATGACTAAGGGTAAAACAAAATGTAAACTAATGGAAAATATTTTAAGAATAAGAACAACATTTAACAAGAGGCCAAGTTAAGTTCCACTCCAGCACAAAGCTACATTTAGAGGCTGTTAGTGTTTGGGATGTGACAGTTGTTTTTGAAGGTGTTCTTTTTCATTTCTGTTTTATGGACTGTACTACAAAGCAATTACATGTGAGTTCTCTAGTAGCTTTTGAAGAAATTTTCAGACAGTAAACAGGCCTAGTATAGCAAGTCTCTGCTGTGGTCCCTGTACAGCTACTGCAATAGTGAGAAAGGAACAAATAGTAAATAAAAATGGATCCAGAGCAGAAATATAGTTGTGGGGGGAGTTTACTGTTTGGACAGAGCTGATGGAATGTTGTTTTATCTCACCATAAAACTGAAGTTTCCAGAAATCTTAATGCATCTTCCTGAGTTTTCAGATGTTTTGCAGCCATTTTTCCACTAGTCCATGAATTTTCTTTTCTACAAACTGATATTCAGCAGCCACTGAAGTTATTTATTTAAAGTCATTTTTCAATTTCTCCCCATATTCTTTAATTCCTGTGGCAGGAATCCATGGAAGGGTGCTGTTGTTCCCTGCTGAAGGAAGAACTTCTTTCCTTTTGCAGTCGGGACACTGCCTCACACCCCATGGATAAATTCTACCATCCTTGGTGACACCAAGAAAACCATAGTACCAGTGAGGTGCCCTGAAGAATGTTTAGTGGAGAGCAGAATAGCATACTTTGCATCTGGTGTTACTCATATCAGCCTAAATCTGATTATTTTGATGGGGTTAAGCAGAGCTGCATAAATTGTAAGTGATAGAAATCCAATAGTTTGTGCTTAATTTAATTTATAGAAAAGTCCCAACAGAAGTATGGAGAACTACATTTACACTTGTTTTCTCCTTAGGTAATTTAATCTGAGTGTTGATACCAAAGCACAGGCTTTACAGAACAACTGTAAAATGGGACTGACTCTCAGGAAATGGTCAATTGATTCTGGTTGCTTTCCTTTTAACAACTTTTTCAGCGACACGGACAGCAGGATTGAGTACACCCTCAGCAAGTTTGCTGCTGACACCAAGCTGTGTGGTGAGATGAAAACGCTGGAGGGATGCCATCCAGAGGGAGCTTGACATGATGTTGAAAACCGACAGCTTTCCCACACAAGGAGCTGGATGGCTTTTGGAGGCAGTGAACTGCATAGCAGACCAGGTGGACTTAAAATGGCTGCTGCATTTTCCCTGTCCTCTGCCTGCTGTCTTCAAAGACAAAGCCCCAGAATGATGGACAGCAGGAAAGGCAGGAAAAAGAGAAACATTGTCTTGATGCACACCTGCTGGACAATACCCAGAAGCCTCTGACATGGATACAGCCATGGGATTAGACAATTGTTTATGTAAGTGAGTGAAAGCCAGCAGGACCCTAACTGTACCAATAGATACAAAAGTATAAAACGCTGGGGCTGTCAGCCCCTCGTGCTGGTTCTTTGTCTGAAGATCAGTCACTCTGCCTGTTGGAGAAGATTGCTGCTTGCTAGTTGCTGTGTGTTAAAAGAAGGCTGTTGTGGAGGAAAATAAGATAGTCCTTGTGTGCTGGTTCCTGACAAGTGCCGTGGATAAGAAGACAACCCCTTCCCCATTAGCTAGGATCCTTCTCCCTACTGAGGATCCTGCTGCCCCAAAGAGCTGAAGGATCACCACATGTTCGTGGATGGAAACTGCTATAGGCAATCTTCTGACACAGCATACTCGGCGCTACCGCACATGATTTCAATTGTGCAGGGAGTGCAGGGTACCTGTGTGGCTTATCAAAATGTCAGAACATCTCAGGATCAGAGTGGGGGATCTTATCCCTTAAACCCTCCTCCCTACTGATCCTAGCCCATATACCTCCACACATTATGTGACCCCGCCAAGGGGAAATTGGTGTCAGGCAACCCTTCTCCTCTCCCCTCATTCTTACTAACCCCCATCCTTATACCAGTATTGCGTGGGTGAGTTGTGTCTAATAAGCATGTCCTGTTGTTGGGGTATTATTGCAAATATTTACTGCTGTTGTTGTTTTATATCTTGCCATTCCTGAACCTCTTTCCTTTAAATTTTGTCAGACTTCCTTAATAAACTGGTTTAATTAATAAACTTTAAAATCAGGAGTCAGCTGCAGTTCTTGTGGGTGTGGTGAGGGGTGGGCTGCTACTTTTCCACCTGAAAAGCCAGTGCAGAAGCTTGCCGCTCCTCTGAGAGAGGAGAAAGCAACGTGCAGATCCTCAGTCTCTTAAAAATTTCTTCCCATAAAGAAGGTGTGACATAATTTTATCCTGACAAATTGCTGTTAGTCACACAAGCTTGAGAGGTGGGCCCCTGCCAACCTCATGAAGTTCAACAGGCCAAGTGCAAGGTCCTACACCTGAGCTGGGGCAATCCCAACCACAAATACAGGTTGGGTGGAGAATGGATTGAACAGACTTGAGGAGAAGGACTTAGGGGTGTTGGATGATGAGCGTCAACATGAGCCAGCAACATGCACTTGCAGCCCAGAAAGCCAGCCATGTCCTGGGCTGCATTAAAATAAGTGTGGCCAGCAGGTCAAGGGAGATGATTCTGCTCCTCTTGCTCCATACTCGTGAGACCCCACCTGGAGTACTATGCCCGGTTCTGGAGCCCTCAACATAGGAAGGGCAGAGCTCTTGGAGTCAATCCAGAGGAAGGCCACAAAGATAATCAAAGAGCTGGAGCACCTCTGCTATGAAGATTGGCTGAGAGAGTTGAGGCTGTTCAGCCTGGGGAAAAGAATGCTCTGAGGAGAACTTAAGAGTGGCGTTCCAGAGCCTGGAGGGACCTACAGGAAAGCTGAAGTGGGACTTTTTCCTGGGGTGTGTAGTGATGGGAGAAGGGGTAATGGTTTTAAGCTGGAAGAGAGTAGATTTAGATTAGACATTAGGAAGAAATTCTTTAGTGTGAGGGTGGTGAGACACTGGCACAGGTTGCCCAGGGAAGTTGTGGATGCCCTCTCTCTGGAAGTGTTCAAGGCCAGGTTCATTGGGGATTGGAGCAACATGGTCTAGTGGAAAGTATCCCTGCCCATGCAGGGGGTTGGAACTAGATGATATTTAAGTTGTCTTTCAACCCAAACCTTTCTATGATTCTCTGATTTTCAGAATAATAACAAGACTCATGTATTCATAACCAGCAGCTGATGGGGACTATGGGTACCTATGACAGGCAGTTGAGAGTTTCTTTTGACTCTTCCTTAATCTTTAGGAAATAATAAAATACTTCAAACTGTGTGGTCAAATAAACATGTTTGTACTGAGAGTATTTAACTAAACTATCTCTTAATTTGTTTTTGTCAAACAAAATGAAAACTTACAAAAGATGCAAAGGGGATTGTCCCAGGCGCTGTTGATGCTTATAGACTGTTAGGAAAAATGAACACTTCATTCTGAAAGAAGAACAAGTTTTTCCCACTTTTCAGGGCTCACATCTCGCTGCAACACCTGGAATGTGGTGGCTGAAATAATAATTTGTATGGCTCAATACAGGAACTTCCTGCAGCAGAGTATACTGCTTCCTTCAGCTGTCTTAGGTGATGTGACCCACACATTTAGTTCTCTTCATATTCAAAAGACTGAATTCAGGCTATCGCATTAGTTACAGTAGCTTCTCATTACACCAATAAATATAAAGTCTAGAGCAGAGCAATAAGATGATTTTCAATGTTATATTTTATTAGGAATCTATAATAATTTCAAAACAAAACCTTACACACAAACACATAAAATCTTAAAAATTTGTGTGAATTCAATTTCCTATTAATATAAATGCAGGGCATCTGTTGTTGGATAAAGTGTAAGTACATTCTCTGTGTGTGTACAAACATTTATTAAAAAAAACAATACTTGTATGACAGAAAACATGGCTTCAAAGGATTTCATATAGTTCATAATGTCAGCAGCTTACACTGAATTATACTGGAACAGTAAAAGTGATTTTGTTATTGGCAAGATGATAAATATATTTGTTCAAGCAAAAGAATAAAAAGCCACAAAAAATATTCAGCAGAGTGTCAAAAGTTTCCCAGAGAGATTTGTCATCATGAATAATAATTGCACTTAACCTGCTATTACTAGTAACCAATACTGTTTTCTTTATTATTTCAAAATATTCATAGTTTCCTTAACAAAAATCCATTCTGTACCTGACATAAAACATTCATTGAATGCAGATTTAAGGTACACAATCCTGGCTTTTAATTGTGCACCTTTGCTTTCCCCTTTTTTTCTATATATCAGATACATCAGAATGGTTAAGAAAAAAAAAAAAGGCAATAAAATGAATAATCTGTGCAAAATGGGAAGCTTTCCTATAATAACTGATACCTCATGCAAAAGAGAAAACATGTATTAAAAAACAGTCTAAGAAGCCCTGAGTCAGTAATTTAATTGCAAAGGCAAGGAACATGAGTGCTCTGAGTTTTTCCTCTACATCGGTGCATATTTAAACCAGTCCAGTATTTAGTTAAAACATACTTTAAAACAGGTAGCTTGTGCAGTTTCTCACATACAAACCTTCTATGCACTTCATTCCTTTCATCAGACTGTATTTAATATTCAATTTCGTTTAAGCTGTCAGGATAGCCTGATGAAAATTGAATTTCTTCCACTTCTAGAAGAGAGGGGAAAGAAGGGGGAAATACTGTAAACATTTGTATTTTTATCACACAGAAGAATGCATACAACAGAATGTCATTACCATGCTGGTTTTAAATGAGACTGCCATAGAGTTTCTAAAAAGTGGATCCATTCAATGAGGATTCAAGGGAAGACTCACCACTTGTCTAATTACAAAAAGTACTGTGAATTGTTAAGTGTCCCCTAAGGAAACAAAGTATGTTTAAACTTACCTAAACAGGGTCCGGCCTGGAACAGAATATCATCAATAGCAGTGTCACTTCTCATGGACACACCGCGGATTGCCTCAAAAATAATCTGTCAAGGTAATACACAGCTTTTCATTAATCCCACTGGAGGAAGGACTAATCATGCAGTCTATTCCAAGATCTAGTGTCCATCTTGGAAAGAAACTTCTGTGCTCCATCAGCAGACTGATTGTCCTGGTCAGAGAATGTCAGTGTATACTATGCCGAAGGAAGCAAATTTGTTCTCACAATTTGTTAAGAAATTGACCCATATTATAGTCCATGGATAATTTTTTTCCAGTGATCTGGTGTTTCTATCCTGCTTTTCAGTCCAATTGTGTTGCTGTGTGTTGCCCCTATGCAACCACGGCTTGAGGGAAAAAAGGCCAATGGCATCCTGGGGTGCATTAGAAAGGGTGTGGTTAGTAGGTCAAGAGAGGTTCTCCTCCCCCTCTATTCTGCATTGGTGAGGCCACATCTGGAGTATTGTGTCCAGTTCTGGGCCCCTCAGTTCAAGAAGGACAGGGAACTGCTCGAAAGAGTCCAGCACAGAGCTACAAAGATGATGAAGGGAGTGGAACATCTCCCTTATGAGGAAGGGTTAAGGGAGCTGGGTCTCTTTAGCTTGGAGAAAAGGAGACTGAGGGGTGACCTCATCAACGTTTACAAATATGTAAGGGGTGAGTGTCAGGGGGACGGAGTTAGGCTTTTCTCAGTGATGACCAGTGATAGGACAAGGGGTAATGGGTGCAAATTGGAGCATAGGAGGTTCAAGGTGAATATCCGAAGAAATTTTTTTACTGTAAGAGTGACAGAGCCCTGGAACAGGCTGCCCAGGGAGGTTGTGGAGTCTCCCTCACTGGAGACATTCAAAACCCACCTGGATGCGTTCCTGTGTGATGTGCTCTGGGTGACCCTGCTCTGGCAGGGGGGTTGGACTAGATGATCTTTCGAGGTCCCTTCCAACCCCTGTGATTCTATGATTCTATGATTATGTTGTGGTCTTACTGATGAAGCTAAACTTGCTTTTCAGGGAAATGTTTCTTTTGCCCTAATTAATTTCCAGGCTTTTAAGGCAAAGTGATAAAAAAAACAACCCCACACAACATCTTTTGTTAGAGATCAGTGCAGTTTTGTGCCCAGTGCTGTCTTAAGTCAATAGCAATTTCAGCTTCCACTTTGACAGAGAGAATGAAGCAGGCTTTGTCCCTGGCAATACTGAAATGTTGGCAGTGTTGAAACGACAGGCAGAGAGCTCTGGCTTTGTATCTTCTCCCTGCCTTTTGTGCCACCTCAGAAAGACTGTGCTGCAAGAAGCGGCCATTTTATGACAGCTTAGTGGTTATGTCAAGTCTAGACAGGGCTTTAGACAGCTGAAGGAGAAGAAATTGCCAAAGTGATCTGAAGAAAAACTACCAATACTGACAAGAAATTATGGGAAAACAGCATTTAAATACTTGAAAAAATAGTTTTTCATTAATGGACTGTTTTAATACTTGCAGCCTATAATTAATTCTTTAGTAATTCCCTTTACTTATAAGAAATTACATGTTACTTCAGCTTGTTGAGGTGTCCATTCAATGCTATCTACATTCTAACATTTTAATTTTTTTTTCTACAACCCAAAACTTAGATTATAACATTTAGTTCATGTCAGTATTCAATTTTTACTGCTTTTCATTTGTTTATTCTTACCTGGTAGTTTCTGTCACTTTCATATTCTATGAGTCCCCTTAGCCATGAGATGCTTTGTTCCCCTGTCCTCCTCCACAAAGGAATCTCTTCATCATCACCTTCCTTTTTTAGATAAACACTTAATAATCCAGTCCCAGCTCCATACATGTGATAGAAGAATGTCAAGCACTGTTTTCCAGAGGTTCCTCTTAATAAGCTTGAAACTAGATATGCTCTCTGTCCATAGACCATGTTGGATGCCTCTATATACATATAGTAGCCTTAAAAAGATAAAAAAGAAAATATTAGCAAGTAAAATGCATTCTCTGAACATGTTCATTATACTCAACATTCTCATTATTTTAAAAACTATGATTGAAACTATTTTTATGAAGATTTTTATGCCGGTGACTGTTGTATGTGTGAACTGTAATGTCTTTGATATTGTGATAATTCTATCTTGTAATAATGGTAATATTTGTGAATGATAATATCAGAACACTTAAAAACTTGCTTATATCTGATTAAATATATAGCAACAGAAAGAAGTACAAAGTAGGAAAAAATCACAGCTATTCTTAAACCAGCAATGCACTTTGACAGTGCTTGATTAATTGGAATTTAGAGACAGCTACGTACATGTAGCTGAGCGTGTATAGTTTAGGCTGGTTGGAGCTGATGCTATTAAGAAAGTAAATGAATTGAAATATCTTTTAAATAATATATTAAATCAATAATATTTTTCATTCTGTGATCAAGATGTGAAGCCACAAGGTGAGAAAAACTTGTCTCTCTAGAATCCATGAATGAATGACTCCTAAGCTCTGATCTGTAGAAAAATTAACCATTAATTGGTGACAGGCAAATTAATCCCTCTCCCAGTCCATCATCAGGTTACTTCCAACTGGAGCAAACTGAAGTATGTCAGAAGACTGAGGAGCATCCCCAGGTCCCATCTGCTGTGTAGGGCAGTTGTTCCACCAGCAGGCAGTGAACTCAGATTTTGCAGCAGCTCTTCATGCAGTCCCACTGCTCCCTTTGTGTGATGTTGGAGATAACAAGCTGTTCTTCTGCCACCACAAGTCCTGGTGGTGAGATTGCCCTCAAGGTGGATTCCTAAGGATCGGTGAGGCAGAAGAAAAGCTGAAAGCAGCAAGAGCAGAAGGTGGAAACTTGGGGTGTCTCTTATGCTACTCAGAGTCCTGTTATCTACACAAACCTATGCTGAAAACATTCTGTCTAACTCAGCTTATAGTTGGGTGGTGCACAGCAGTAGAGAGAAAGCGTGAAAAGGAAGATTATCAGCTGTATGTCCATAAAGAAAAGATAATTTTGTACAGCTGAAGAATTCCCACAGCTATTTATACCAAACCTAGTGCAAGCCATTGCAAGGATGTTGATGCTCACTATACTTCAAAGTTCCTCGAATTAAAAATCTAAACCTACACCAAAATAACTTGCCTTTAGTTCTAAGATCTGAAGAATGTTACAAGTTTTTCAGAAAGAGGAGATCAGCTCTTCATTTTGTGAATTCAAATCTACATATTTCTGAGCACATCTTGCTGCAGAACATTTGTGAAATAAGGAATAAACATTGTTGTCACAGGCCAGGCTTAAAAGATTCTCTTAACTTCACCAGTTCTGAAGTGAAGCTCTATCAGCCTCAGATCTCAGAATACTTAGTGATCTGCATAAACTGAAAATAGGTCTAGCATCAATTTCTGCCTTAGAAATCAAGAAAATTTTATTAATATCCCATTCCTCTTCTGAAGCAAGAATGTCTTAAGGGTTGCTATTACTGTAAGGAGAGGGTCACTGTCCTTGAAAACCCAAGAGCTGGGATATAGAGTATTTGAAACAGGAAGAACAAAATAGCATTAGACAAACCTGAATGTTGAATCCTTTTACAGAACTGAGTTTGGTTACCTGCCAAAACAACCAGCAACTTAATTGTGATGTAGTCCTTTTGGATCTTATTTGATAGAAAAAGAAAGGTTTGCCAGAAAATACAGACATGGCTACTGCTGCCTCTTCACCCACATTTCAAAATAAAAATTCCCAAATCAACTTTAAAAGCATCTAGGAAAAATTCTCACTTATTTTAAAGCTGGTCATCTCATGTCTAGTTGATGGAGAAGAACTGGACAGCATGGGTAACAAAGACTTACAGGCAGTGTGTCATCAAATTCAATCTAATGTAATCTAATTTTTAAATGGAAAAGGGACAAGAATTTCAACATTCAATTTTGAAAGTCATCCCACAGTATAAAGGTATCATTACTGGGGAAATGTTCTTGATTTGGAGATAGTTTACATTTCCCACTCAGATAATGTAGCCAATAAAATTGGTCAGAATTTGGTCAGATTTGTATGCAGTGTTTCTTATTTCTGTTTCATAGCATAGAAGAAAAGTTTTAAGCTTTAAAACTTACTTTTATCTGAAGGCTATTCCTATTTCATAATCAGTACTGTTTAGAATTAACAGTGGAATAGCATAATTTCTCGGTGATCTGACATTACAAGCCAAAGAGAAACAATCCCATCTACTTTCTCAATTCTACATGTAGAATTTTGGCCATAGTGAACTTTCATACCCTGCTTAGGATCCAGCTGTTACAGAAATTTTATCAGGAGACAGAAAAGGGATATTTTGCTGGATGTTCATAGATCCATCTTTTTTGATAAGGAGATCAAAAACAAGACAAAGCACGTGGTATTGCATTAACTAGAAGTAAAAGAGTTTTCCAGAGAAACCTCAATTAAGCTTGCATAGAGCGTGACTTCATGTGCACAGCTGGAATAACTATGCTTGATAATGCTTAGTGAGGTTTACACTCAATCACAGTTGACACAATAATAATGGCTTTTGGTGAGGCTTTTGAGCAGGCCAACTTTTGTAGTCCAGCTAAAATTTTTTAAAGACTGGGTAGTTGGCTACTGTGAATAAGCCAGTCTGCCTGCAACTGACTTTGTAACTCATAGAATCATAGAATCATGGAATCATTAAGGTTGGAAAAGACCTTCAAGATCATCTAGTTTAACCATCAGCCCTACACCTCCATGACCACTAAAGCATCTCCCAAAGTGCCACATCTACCCGTTTTTTTAACACCTACAAGGATGGTGCATCCACCACCTCCCTGGGCAGCCTGTTCCAATGCCCCACCACTCTTTCTGTGAATAATTTTTTCCTAATATCCAATCTGAAGCACACCTGGCACAACTTGACCCCATTTCCTATTGTCCTATCACTAGTCATTAGAGAGGCCAAAACCTGCCTGACTACAACCTACTTTCTGCCTCTTCTCCAAACTAAACTATCATAGTTTTCTCAACCTCTCCTTGTAAGACCTGTTCTCCAGACCCCTAATCAGCCTCATTGCCCTTCTCTGCACCCTCCCCAGCACCTCGATGCCCTTCTTATACTGCAGTGCCCAAAACTGCACACAGTGCTTGAGGTGTGGCCTCACCAAGGCTGAGTACAGGGGTAAGATCACCAACAAATTCCAAACACTGTGGAGGAGGGAAAATCCAAGGGCTCACAAGGCCTTTTTAAACCTATTTAAGCGTTTACGTTCAGAAGCCTCAGGACAGTTTCATCCATGATTCTGAAGTCAATGGAGTCGATACTGAGGTCCTGTTCTGCAGGAACAGGAGTACCCAAGGCAGTGACACAGTAATTTCCAAAAGTCACCAGGTACTGACCCTGGTGTGGGGCCAATGCTGATGCAGGTTTCTGTTCACTCGCCCCACTTGCCTAAATACTTCAAGTTACACAAGTGAGGTTATGTACCAGATTTTCAAGACAAAAGGTCTGTGAGACCTCTTTTATTATCCACGTTTTCTTCTAACTTTGAACAGGAAGTTGTTGATGGAGAAAAGCCCCTAAGCACTTGTTTGCCTTTTATTTTCAGGGAATATTCACATAAGTTAGGGGTTTGGAAGAAGGTTTTTCTGGAGGGTCTGGAGAGATATCCTGTCCTTTTCTCTCCCAAAGGAAAGGGCTAATTGAGGAAACAGACCAAACTATCCACTTGGTCTGCATATACATTCAGATTAAACATCACATCCTCAAAACCGTCTGTGGGTCCCTAAGAAATGTGTTTACTTAATTCGATTAATAACTTTTCTGAACACAACAGTAAAAACTCACTCTGTGTTCTAGGTTATAATTTCAAAGTATTTTTTATTAACTATTAATCTCCATTCTGGAAGTTCAATGTGGAGCTTAACTCACCTACCCCAGTAGTGTGGTCTCCTCTCGGTCCGGTGTAAGAAGTGGGAGTTGGACCCCTCCTCCTGTGCCAAATCCCACGACCTCTCTTCTTCTGGGTGAACACACACTCATCTTTTTCAAAAGTACACTCTCCAGGACTGGGCAGCAGTAAATCTAGAAGGAGAGAACATGGTTTTAAACTGCAAATATATTAAGACAGATACGTGGAAAGAATGCACAAGCAATGTATTTCATTCACTCACCTGCTGAAATCACTTATGTCTACTTGGCAATACTTAGAGTAGTCACAAGCTTGTAAAAGGTAGCTTCAAGCAGATGTAAGAAATTTAATTTAATTTTCTTCACAGCTTCAGGGAAATCTGTGCTGTAGTCTGGCTCACTAACATGTACTTATTTTCTTTTAAACGTCTCATGCACTTTATTATCTCATCATATCTCTTCAGAGCTCCACAATGGGCTCTTCCAATGTAATCGTCTTCACTACTGAGGCACCCCAGGCAGTTAAACGAACTCCAGCATATATAACATGCATAATAAATTAGTCTTGTCAAAGACTGGAGTTTCTGTGATCTGAAATCAAACACCACATTTAGCTCTCTCATGTTCCCTTGGCACCAGATTCTAATACAGCATACAACAGACCACAGAGCTGCAATTACTATTTTCATTATTTCAAGTCTATGAGATCATGCAGAAGAGAGAAAGCTGACAATTCAAGCTCTTGCCAAGAAGCTTCTGTCAGCCCTTCTGCTATAATGTGAATTTGTAGTTCAGGAGTAGACACTATGAGCTGCTTTCACCTTTTGGAAAAGAGAATGCCTTAATGCCTCACATACTCTAGGGCATTTTTCAGGCATTTTTTTGCTGCCACCATTGCCAAGTCCCCATATGACTATACACCTAACTATCAGTCCTGTACCTTTGGTTCATTTTCAGATTACCTAGGAAGCACAGAGAGGAAAAACAGACAACTGCTGGAAATACTTCAGAAAAATGTCATATTGTTTCATACATGCTACTTCTCCCTGTTCCATAATGGCTGGTCGCCTAAGTACAATAAATCAATCAAAAGAGGTAATAAAAAGCTTCTTATTACCTGGGAATGTAAGTGGCATGGTAGATCAGCCTCATCACTATTTCAAATAATGGAAATATAGAGTGTGCCTGTCTCATGAGAGCTATTTCCAAATTAGGATACAATCAGTGCACTATCAAACCTCAAAAAGCCCCAGAAGAGGGAGTTTTGGTGAGTTCAGGGAGGTTAGCCTGTGTGTGTCAGAAAGTAAAGTCTCACTCCAAAACATTCAGGTCCTCCCACTACAGGCAGGAGAGTTGAACTCATCTGCCTTCATTAGAGAACCGCAGCTCAGATAAGGGACTGTGTCTTGGCCTTGCACAGCTGTACTTCTGGACTAGAAAGAGTAATGCTGTGTTTTGAAAATATTGCTTTTGGGTCTATTCCCAGTTTCCTAAAAGCTGTTTGAAAACTACTTTCCCTTTAGTTGAACTGTTGTTTTTTTTTAAAACTGTAATGCCCCAAAAGGAACGCTCACCTATATAAAACTGTACTGCAGTCAGTGAAGTTAATTAGCAGTTAGCTGGTAGCTCTGTGAACAAAAACTCATCCTTCCTCTATGCATGCTACTGTAAAAACAGGATTTATGCAATACTTACTGGAAAATGAGAAAAATAAAAGAAACCACGGTGGGATGAAGGCAGCTGTAGGATAGGCTTGGAAAATTAAGATATGTAATGAACTCTTACTGAAGAGGGTAGCAGCTCTTGGACAACAAACACACATGGTCTTACCAGCAGCCTGGCAACTTCCCAGGCTCAGTGATATATCATCCAGTGCCACAAGTCCACAGTCCCAGAAGCTTTTACACCAGCTGACAAAGACAACCTGCAATACATGAAGGAAATTTCAGGTACCTAACAAAAGCTGGTGCTGTTAAGAGTCTGAAATTTTAGATTTTTATAATTGTGCTAATGACTTTGACATCTACACAATATAAATTATTAATCCACTTTGTTTTGGCACTTACTAATACTGCCAATGACTGAAATTTCAAGTCCAATTGAGTCTAGGTGTGTGTTTTCATGCAGTAGAAAGTGTTTTCTCACTTTAAATGATGTAACTGTATATGTAGCTTCCATTTTATTAGGGCAGTGTGTATTTTTTACTGTAAGAGAATATATGACTCACTGAAGTTGTTGCCTTTTTTCCCTCCAAAAAAAAATCCCAAGGTGAAAAACTCAAATGTCTTCATCTATCTTATTCCTAAACAGGAAGTGTTAACCATAGAAGAATAAATTTGAAGGAGTAATGCCGTGATGGACAAGATATATATGGCTGCGGCAAAACTGAAGACCAATAAAAATAAAATGAAACTACTGCATAAAATGGGATTATGACATAAAGCCATGATATCATACAGCAAGAGGCTGGAAATGCTACGCACCATTCACAGTATTCTTCTGGGTTTGCGAAGACTAAGAACAGTGACCAAGATGTTTTATTGGACTACACATTAATTCTGCCATGGAAAATACAAGTTACTCATGAGGTGACAAAATAAGATCTTAAGAAACCTTAAGATTCTCAGCTGCCCTTCTCCCACAGTTGACATAGATCTGTTTGAATTACAGACAACACAGTAAGGTTTATTCTGTGAAAATACTGCTGAAAGTTTTCTTTGCCTAACTACTGCAAACCATTTGTCTGACCATTGGGACTGTGACCATAATTTGGGAGGAGCTTTTCAAAACCATTCTTTTGTGATGAGGTCTGAGCTAGTGACTGGAGACAGATGAGTGTCACTTTTAACAGTTTAATATTCTAGAACAACTGCAAACACCTCAATTACGTATTTGAGGTTAAATGCTGAATGACAGTTTCATGCAGATACAAAAAGGCTGTTTAAAGTTGTTATTGCGTTATTTAACATGTCTTCTTATAACGGGCTTGGTAACACCTTCAAGTGGTCATTATACAACATTTTGCTAGATTGCTTTCTTCTGTAGTATTTATTTACTCATCTGCTTATGAAATAGCCTGAGATGTAACTACATGGCAACCTTTGAAGCATGTTTGGGTTATGCTGGCCAGGATGAAGCAATTTTTAAAAGAATTTTCATTCGGTGCTACCAATCTTGAAAATAGAGATAATCTGTTTTGTAAACTGCTACAGGTGTGGACTTGAGGAGTGTCCCTGCACAGTACACACAACTGCTCAGTGTATACTGGCCTCACTCAACTGCCCTCCTCCCCCCCTTTTTTTTTTTTTTTTTCCTGCAGAACTACTCTCTTAGCCTTATGGTTTAACCGGACAAAATTGTTTCCTAACTTTTAAGTTCATTCTCAAGGAATAGGCACAATCTATTTAAAAATGGTAGCATCTCTTGGAATAAAAAATACAATAAATACTGACGTTGGGCAGACGTCATTCACCAGACATTTAATAGATGCATTCTGGTGAACATTTGTAATAAACTAAAGACATATTATATTCCTAAACACAAGAATCTTCAGAAAACCACACATGAAAGGGTGAGGTCAGTCCTCATTTGTGAAAAAACATTTCCACACCGTGGAATCATGTTGTTAGTGATGTTTTCCTATTGACATCACTGGGAGCAGAATCAAGTTCTTTATTCTTAAATTGCAATAATTTGTTCCTTAGAAGGTATGTAATTACCATTGGATCCTGCAGAAAGCTCTCAATTTCAAAGGCCTTGCAACAGTAACTGTTGGTCTCTAAAAGGCCACTGAACTACTAGTTTTTGTATCAAAGGATGGATGTGTTTTGGTGACAGTTGCAAACTTGTTCAGCTTTCTCTAGCTCTAAAATGATTAATTGTCCACTCACTTTTTGTGTTGTTGAGTGACACACTGCCATGAGCAGACTTTGTAATTCCACAAGGGTGGAGTAGGGGAGCCCGTACTTGGGAATGTGGAGTTTCCAGTATTGCTAGAGCAAATCTTCATTGTCCCCTTAGCTTATTTTGTTGTCATATTATTGATTTAAAGCAATGGGGTAGAACATATTTTTTATTCACAGATCAAGTTTATTGACTCCTCGTATGTCCTAAATGTACTTTTTTTTTGGTCATAAAGGGACATCTTTGAGTGTTTGAACTTCACCTACCAAAACTGTATCCATTTGGATTTACTCAGTTATGCATTTTTACCCTAAATTAGATGTCTGAATCCTTTATACAGTGTTGATGGGACTAATCTCACTAGGCTTTACATTTGTTCTTTTTTTAAATGAAAATATTTCCCATGTCAAGTCTTCTGAAAGAAATTTTTATGAAGTTATGTCATACCTTGGAGAAGAGAATAGGGAGATCTTTGTGCTCAGCTAAGTTTCTTCCTAAAACATGACAAAAGAACAACATACTAATTGTTTCAAACTAGGTAACAAAGCTTCTTGGACTTGCATGCTATCTTGGATGCTAAATTAAAACCATTATCAGATGCAGGCCCTTGCCTGCATTACTGAAAAATGAAACGTATTTTCCTCTCATGTCTCTTTTTGTTCCAGCAACAGGACACAGCCAGGGCATTAGCTTCCTTCCCATTAATTGCTGGATTTCTGCAAGCTGGTTTGTTTATTTTCCAGCGCTTAATCAATGTCCCTTGCCTGCAGCCTCAAGGTATCAATAATCAAGTCTTTGCATTTTTTCCTGGATTGTATAAGCAACACCAGATGAGAAGACCTGGTAGAGCAAGCAGGGTTTCACTTCTCTCATGACATGCTGGGGTGTGCTGCAAAACACTGAGTGAGGTGTAAGGTACTTCTCATGCTTAGCACTCTGCAGCTGGAAGTAGATATTAGTTAAAATGTATGCATATGAAGTTTGCCTGCTTTTGGAGGAGAAGAAAGAGTAGGACACACAGTGGGGTATCTCTGTCAAGAAGTGTAAGGAAGGACTAATGGGGAAGCTTGTAAAAGGAGGTTTGCAGGGAGCTGGACTGAGAACAGGAGAGAAGGATAAAAGATGCCCCATGATCCCTGTAGGTTGTTATTTTTCTTTCCTACTTGTTTAATACAGCTAACCCTGAAAATACAGCTGAAAATACCAATCAAACAAAAGAAAAACCGTGACAGCAGCCATGTCTGGTGACTTAAAAGCAAACTGTGCCTTTGCAGCAAATTAATTTACCTGATTCCATCTGAGTGAATATACTTAGGTTTAAACTACACATAAACTACAGCAGTGTAGACACAAAACTCAAGACTGTCACTTAGACACATATTTAAGTTCAGTTTCTTAAAGAAAGGTAGTTATAGTGGAGGCTGAGGTGGGGTTTTGTGAGAAGCAGCTGTTGTAATTTCCATACAGTGACACGAAGTTCAGTATTATGAAATAAAGAAATAATTTGAGCAGCAGAAACAAAATTGTGACATGACATGAAGAAGGAGTCAAGATGTCTTCACAAAACAGAGGACTTGACTTTTCAGTCAGTTACACTAGTACACAGCCATATAACCATGTAAGCCAGGACCCCATCACTGGCACAGGGAATAAGAGAACCAGCAGCCCAGGGCTGCTTGGTACAAATTTATCAGTGTAGCCTGAATTACTTTTACCTGTTTTAATTAATAAGATATCTTTAATAAGATTTTAAATGGCTTGCTTTTCTTTGTCTTAAACAGTCAGCAACTAATTTACCAAGAATGCAAGTAAGCTATTAAGCCAAAATTAGAACATCTGCAAGCTTCTGCCATTTAAAATAAATTTATTTAAAATGGCACTACCCAGGCAAGGTCAATTTATTGCTATGTAAATGACCTTCTGTGGGAAAAATAATAGATTATGAAAGCTTCTACATAAATAATTGGATAATATTGGCATATTTGAACAAATACTTTTGAAAATCTTTCCTGTCCAAGGGAAAATGAGTTGCAGAAACAAACAATAAAAGAGAAACTTAAAGCTAATAGAACAATCTGGGGCCACAGGCTGTTAATGCTACATCTATATTCACTTGATTGCACTGTCCAGTAGAGAATACTGGTTGGACAGAAATGTATACAGGACACTGATATCCTCAGCTGTCCCCCAGGGCCCTCCTAGGTTTCTAGAAATCTGCTATTTCAGCTATATTTTCTTTACAATATAACGGTTTCCTTGGCTCTTTTTATAAGAGGGAAAGGTCCTTGCTTTTAGACTGCAGAGTCTTGTCAGAATATGTGACATTATGATACCATAATATTAAGTACCCAGAACAAAAATTGAGCGAAGAAAGGAAATGTCAGTTAAGTATCACAGGTACCAAAAAAGGAGGTATGTAATATTTCATGCAACATATCTCCTTGCTTAGCTACTGTGAAGATGCAGGACACTTTGGTAACACTTTCTAACCTGAAATTTTAACAGTTTACACTATGTTTATCAAACATGGCAGACAGTGGATTATACATTTTGCAAGCACTAATCATACTATTTACAGACCCTAATATTCTTATTTTAAATAGGCATTCCAGTGATTGTTCTTTAAGAAATGTCTTGTTTATAGGTGAGAGAAGAAAGGACTGAAAGGCCATATTATAAAACTGCAGCTCATGCCAACCTCCTGAGGTTGCATACCTTATAAACGAAGAATGATCAAGAGTTATGTCAGGACATTACCAAAAAGCTCCTTTATTTTATACAAGTAAGGGTTTTTCAGAGGAGATGAGGACTAGGATGACTGCCCTTCTCCACTTGATACTTGACTGGAGAACTGTATCCTTTATACTAGTGACTCAGTCATAAGTACCTAGGACTTCATAATATATCCAAGATCACTCTAGTCATTTACATATGACTTCAGTGGACAAGTGAAACACACAAATTTCTCAGCAACAAAGAGAAATGATAGAATAATTTAATGTTGAGCATCTTCACAGTGAT